GCCGGCCGGCGGCGGCGCGCCCTGAGCGGCGGCGGCGGCCCCGCGCCCCCGCGGCGCAGCGGGCGCTGTTGCGCAACCCTGCCCGGCACTGCCGGCTCCCTGCCCCCGCCGCCGGCTCGCCGCGGCTCCCGCGGAGACGGAGCGCTGATTCATGGGGCCCCGCGCCGGCTGCCTCGGCGAGGAGAGCGCGGCGCTGCCGCTGCCCCCGCGCGGGGTGTGAAGCCCCGGCCCCTCCTCCGCAGCCCCGGGCTCGCCCGCCCTGCTCGGGAGTGTGGTCCCTGCCGGGAGCCGCCGCGCCTGGCGCACAGAGGGAAGCGTTGATGCATCGCTGTGGAAATTCATTGTGTGACTTTCTGGGTATTTACTGAGTTTCAGACCGAGATGCAGCTCTTGAAAGCTTTATGGGCACTAGCAGGAGCAGCGATCTGCTGTTTTCTTATATTTGTCATCCACTCACAGTTTCTTAAAGAAGGTAATTGTATGTGCATGTCTACATATCCTGTTCTTTAATACTAAGATCTTTAAGAGGTGCCTTAATTATTTTTACTGTTTCCAGTATGTTCTATTTACAGCAGTGCTTCCACGCTATTTTTCCTTTCCGTTAAAGCCTTCTCAGTTTTGTTGCTTTAGGTAATAGGTAGGCTTAGACTTACATCTTTGCTAAATGTATATATATTATATGTATATATAAATATATATATATATATGAAATCTGTATGATGTTTATATTCGATGTTTTAGCTGACGTCTCATTTCTTTATGGGGCATGTATAGTGTATAGAAAATATTTGTTGTTATCAGATGACCACAAAACAGTAGTCATCATGGGAATATTAATAAACCAAAAAACCCCTTAACAAGTAAACGTCTTATTTTTATACCAAATCAATAGGCATCCTTTGCCTCTTCCTTATTCAGTACATTTTCAATAGATGGCACTAAAGTTCTATGGAAAGGGCAGGGCAGAGCAAATCCTGGGCATTCAACGTCTTCCTTCTCTTCACTGCCCCAAAATGGGAAGAGGCCTTTGCGTGGCTTCTGGGCTCCTGTTTTTATCACCTTCTGGTCAGAAAACTGTGATTACAATTTGTAAGAGAAAATAATTTGAATTGCCGGGCAGGCTTTCATCTTTTTTCTTCTTTTTTTTTTTTTTTTTCCCCTCCTTGAATTGGGTGGGAAAAAAATGTTTGATTAAGTGAGTGGAGGGATTTTTCATGGGGAGTAATCCTTGTACTGCTCTTTTTTTGTTTTGTTTTCTTTCCTCAGGAAATTAGTATTGTCTTTTTTTCTCCTACTGCTAAAGTAATTAGTCCATTTGTTACTTGTATAGCAAACTGTAGTCTGAGATTCAAGTGTGAATCCTGAAAAATGTATATATATTTTGTGGTGTATGGAAAAGTCCAGTCCTGTTTTTTAAGCAGTATTAACAAAGATAACACAACAATATGGGGGTTTTGGTGAACCCATTTTTTCTTTTTTTACCATTATAATATAGTTGAGTATAGCTGGAGGAAAAAGGAGCTAAGCTCAGTTCGGAGTGCTGGCTGTGTAAAGCAGGGAAAAACTTTTTTGTGACTGGAACAAAGTTTCACTCAAGGCTGGGCAAAGTGACTACCTTGCAACCTCTGAAGCATCAGTACTGATTTTATTTTAGTGTCAGTCTAAGCAAAACTTGAGACTCGTATGTTTACAGAGATTTTTTTTTTTCCTGAAATTAATAAACTCTGGTTTAGTTAATTTAGGAACATTATTCAGATACCTCCAGTGCTAAAGATTTCTCCTTTAAAAACCTACCCATGCTGTAATTGCATTGTATGCAATGCCTCCCACATAGTGACTTATTTAACATTCTTTTAAAATGCTCAGACAACTGTATTTTTATATATCTGTCTAATGACATGGCCTGTTTTGAGGTAATTTTGCAGACTATCATGCTGTTCTTCTACTCTATTTGCCATTATACTGCTTTTTTTCTTCTTCTTTTAGGGCTTGAGGTCTGTGTTACTGTAAAAAATTCTCAAAACAGGAAGCATTTTGTTTCCCTTAAAATATTTCATTTTGCCTTGTAGGGTTAGAAAGCTAGCAAATTATTTTATGAAAACAGAACTCATGGCGGTACACTAAGGACTTTTAACACATTTTACATTTTTCTAGCAATTATAACCATTTTTAACATGGACTGCAGACAGCAAACTGAAGCTCTTTAGCTTGTTGGATAACTTAATTAGATCAGTTTGTTTATATTTGTTCCCGTACCATTTCTGTTTTCTTTAGCAATGAAAACTATATACTGACTATAAATTGCATATATTGGGACAGCTGTCAGACTTTTCTTGACAGGTGCTAATCTCCATGATAGCATTTTGGTCCTTTCCATGCAATTACTTTAGCAGTGTATGTATTCCTTTCTCCTTGTGGTTTCAATAAAGACAGGGAATAGTTTGGTGGAGTTGAATGAAAGTCTGCACAGTATGACTGAGCTTTTTTTTATGAAGAACTTTTAAAATATCCAATAAAAGTGAATGGTTTAAGCATAAGATATCTAAATGAAGGCATATAAAAGAATGAGAAATAGATAACACTGGATTTAAACTATGTATTGTAAGCAGTTTGGAAAATAATATTTACATGTACTTTTTTATCATTTTTGAACCTGGTGTTTTATGTTACTTTCAGTAAGAAAACAAAGAGAAAAAGTGTGAGGAAAGAACTAGCAAATAATTTAACCATATTAGTGTTAACCTCATTAGTGTATTAAGTAAATGTATCAGGAAGAATACGTGTGAGATTACCTCACTACCTTCATAAGATTTGAAATATTTTTCTGATGTCAAAACTATTCCTTTACATCATAATTTTATAAAAAGTTGGGAATGCTGTGTCTCATTGCCCATGATGTTAGACTGTTGATTTCCAGGCAAAGGATTAATTTCCCATTGGAGCCTAATGAGCTACACAGGCTTGCTGTTTGTAACTCAGCTGTGTGGTCAAATTCGTAAGTTAAGTGCTTGGACACTTTAATTTGGTTATTGCTTGTGCAGAAGGATAATTTTCTGTTATCCCAAAGAACATTCAAATAAGCCACCAGTTTGAGTAGCTGGATCAGATTAGTTGATAACACTTATCTCCTGAGGCAAGTTGATGGTACAAGTCCATACACCAAGCATTTCTTTTGTGTGCAAGACAATTGATTTAGGAAGAATGACATGTAAAAGTAATTAAAGTTCCAACCTGATTTATTAATGTATATTCTTTCCATTTTTGCATCTTTCAAAATATTTACTGCTTATTATTTTTCCAGAGCTAGATTTTAACAGAAAACTGACATAATCTTCATACAATTATGTAATTAATACATATATTTTTCTGTTCATTTTCCTTTTACTCACTTGGAATTACTGATGTTATGTGGTAGGTTATGGTCTTGTGGCCTAGTAACACAATGTATTTTTTATAATTTCAGTTGTACTGCGTGGCTACAGTGTGTAGAACTTCCATGACATCCAGCTGAAACTTATTACCAGAACCAAACCCTCCTCCAGTCCCATTCATAAATATGAGATTGTATGTTGCAACAGCCAACTGAGATTTTTTTTTTTTCATAATTAATGTTAATTTTGTGTTGATTTCATTTTAGTTCCTGTGCTGAAGTGAGCCTGTCTTAATTCTTAAATATTTTTATATACATTTGTGAATTCAGGCAGTTTGGTAGTAGCATTACATTACTACCGTATAAATGGTGTTAAGAAACAATGAACGCTTGTTCTGAGATGAGTGGGAAAGAGCTGTTTAAATGTCTATTTTCATGAATATGTTTTTTTCAGGAAGTGAAGAATGGGTAACACAGGGTGCCATTTTTCCACACTTAGGCTTTTGTGTGAAAATACAGGTCGCCCTGTGGCTAATCCGTTCCCCTATGTCCAATCTGTCCTTCAGTGTTTCTAAAAGATGAATAGAGCTGTGAACCCAGAAAAGGGTATTGTGATATATAATTGCAGTCCCATGCCTGTCTGATCTTACTGCAAAGCAGTTTAACATACTCTAGTCAGCTGTAGTCAGTATGAAGGAGTGTTTAAAATTTCAGTATCTAAAACTTTTTGCATAGTCCATTGAAAATTAAAAGTAACCAAGGATATTCACTACCCACATCTGATTTTAGTTGATTCATTATCTAATATTGTTTAACACATTTATTCAACGAGAAATGAAAAACATTTGAGTTAGTGTTACACCCCATCAGTTGTGGGAACCCCTTTGCCCCTGACAAGGACCTCTTTCATGTAGAACTTTTTAACCATTCAGAAACTGCAGTGATGGGAAAAGGTGAAGGATACAGTTTCTAAATGTGTCTTTGAGTCTCATAGAAAGTAGGGCAGTTATGGAGTAACTTAAGAAGGGTATGTGTACCTGGCAGCCAAGGGTGTGTTACAGCCCTGGGTATACTTTAAAGCTTTGTTTGTGTGCTGATAGCTCATTGGGGGATAGAAATGTCTAATTTATCAAAAGGTGCATTGATGTTTTGAATGGTTTAGGAGATTTGGCTGATGTTAGCTTTGTTTGGAGAGGGACTGCACAGGAGCAGATTAAATCTCAAGAATCTTAAAGTATAGAGGATTGGAATATTCAGATCCCAAAACTAGCTTGCAATAAGATGATTTTCTGTTGATACACTGCAGTAGTTGAGACAAGAGAATTCCAGTACTTCTTTTATAACCAGATGATTATGGCTGTGAACCAAAATTTAGTGTAATTTTGCAGCTTTAGTGTATACTTATATATATGAATAAGGTATCTGTTTAGCAAATTTTTCATAGTTGTCTTTTTTTTTTTTTTCTTTTTCTCCTCAGTCAAAAATTAGCAATTTTTGGTTACACTTGTAGGCACTTCAATGTCAATTCTGTTTATAGGAATTAGTGTCACAATAGTGAAAAATACTACAGCACTTTTTAAAAAAAGAGTGCAATATTGCACATAGTAACTTGGCTAAATTTTATACTTAAGATGTTTTTCCTGTCACTTTTTATACAGATTTAAATACTTTATCCTGCTCTAAAACTACAGAAAAAGCTTTATGCGTATTTTTGGTTTTAGCATGTACATTTTCACACTGACAAATAGTGACGCACATATTCTATTTAGCTTTGTAATCCCAAAGAACTCTGCTACTTCTTCTGCTAATGTTTGAAAATGTCTACTGACAGAATACCCAAGATGATTTTTGAAGTGCTTTCTGCTCATATAACCTGATCGCTTGAGGAAGCTGGTATTGCTAATGTTTACTGCTGTGTAAAACCTTTTGAGGAAAGGAGCTGTTATCTTCTAAAATGTTTTCAGCCTTTGGCCCTCAAAATTTTCCTAGAAGGAACTTGAATGTGACTTAGTATGACAGATAATATTGCTATCTTTTCATTTTTCTTTTACCTTTAAAACATAAAAAAATTACTTGAACCAGTTAAATGCAGAAAGATAATT